TGGCAGGCTTGCACCTGGCACGGGCACCGTAGCCAGCCCGTGCCCCTTTAAAGGGTCCGGGGCCGGGAGGGGGGCATAGAGTTTCCCTGGTGTTGGCCAGAGTGGCCACCAGGGAAACCTGGGAAGCCTTAGCCTCCCACTAGTTCGAATTAAGGGTCTACACAGCCCTTAATTCGAACTAGCTAGTTCGAACTAGGCGTTAGTCCTCGTAAAATGAGGATTACCTAGTTCGAACTAAGTGCTCCGTTAGTTCGAATTAAGTTCGAACTAACGGAGCGCTAGTGTAGCGCCTAGGAAAGTTAGTTCGAACTAACGGATGTTAGTTCGAACTAACTTTGTAGTGTAGACATACCCTGAGAGTCATCATATGCATATGAAGTTAGTTGTCTTAATGCTGCCCCATTCACCTTCAAAGAGGGAGCTTCCAAAAGCAAGCACTTGCTGCTGACTCTCAAGACATCCATAGGTCTAGTCTTCTTGCAATGAGCCCACTTCACAGGTCCCACTGTTCTTCTCATTGTTCTTGGAACTGGCTTCCACCCTTCTCCAACCATTGCAAGTGCAGGGAGGTGCTCGTCTTTCATGCCTTATCCATTCACTCCTCATTCACTCAACAGGACAATCAATTAAGCAAAAGGAGGTACAAAATCTACAAGATAGAAGGTTTCTATGTAAAAAGACTTAATACAAAGTTTCTATGTTCTATATGAAAGTATACAAAGTTTCTATATAAAAGGGCTTAATACAACAAACTAAAGACAGTACAATACTAAAAGGACTTGATTCAAAGTTAAAATAAAAAATTTCAATGAGAAAATGAATAATACAGAGATTTATGAGATGTATCTACAGTTGCACAGCTTTGGGGAAGGGATGAGTGCATTGGGGGTGCTTATATTTTTTTAAAGGTAGTTTATAACAAAAGGAAAAACTTAAAAACAATAATCTAATAGAACTTTAAAGACTAACAAAACATGAGATACTACTGACTTCCTGAGAAAAGTACAAAACATCGATAACCTCCCTGGTAACACCATCCTTGCTACCATGGATGTAGAAGCTCTATACACCCACATCCCACATGAAGACGGATTACAAGCAATTAGAAACACTATCCCAGAGGACAGCACTGCCAATCTGGCAGCAGACCTATGTAACTTTGTTCTCACCCACAATTATTTCCAATTTGAGGACAACTTATACCTCCAGATCAGTGGCACAGCCATGGGTACCCGCATGGCCTCACATTATGCTAACATCTTTATGGCTGACTTAGAACGTTTCCTCAGATCCCGTCCCCTTATGCCCCTTCTCTACTTACGCTACATCAATGACATCTTTATGATCTGGACTCTCATGGCCAAGAAACACTGGAGACATTCCACAGAGATTTTAACAGCCTACACCCCACCATCAATCTCAGCCTGGACCATTCTACACGAGAGATCCGTATCCTGGATAACAGGTCAGACACCCTCTGTGGTGACACTGCTGGGCTTTGACACATTCTTCATCACCTTGTGGCCTTTGCCAAGGCTGACGGCTATGGGGCCATGCCTGCCCCCAAGGAACAATGCTCCTCTGATTATGAAATGTGGTCATATTTTCTGTAAGGACTAATGACTTGATTTTTGTCCTAGGAACACATCCTGAAGATTCCAGTGTAGCATGATGACTGGGAAGAATGTAAAGAGAGAGGGAAATTTTTCAACTCCCCAGGGGAATAAAAAAGTACAGGTGAGTGTCAGACATATAGTGAGAACAAATATCTGGAGGACCATATAAATTATGCTACTTACGGGTAGGGCTTGAACTCTTGACCTGTGAATCTGAAGGTGGGTAGCTTATGCACTGTGCCACTGGAGGAACCTCCAAGTTCCTTGTGGTCTGTATCCCCCTTATCCGTCATACATCCTAAAGATGCCAGGTCCATGCTGAGGTCCTGCGTCGATGCTCTGGAAGGGGGAGGGGCTGGCAAGGCCCTCTGTCCATCCATAGCCCCAGTACACCTGCACGGGACAAGTCGAGTGTTAGCCCTAACTGTGAATAGTCTAGGAACATATTCTTTAATAACTTTTGCTATTTCATAGCTGCGAAGGAGAAATGCAATTCATTATACATAGAAAACGTGCGAGTCTTCAGACTCACTTTGGGTATTTCATTTTAAAACATCTCCATTTTGGCACGTGCAGATGTACTGCATTGTCAGTTCTTGTCATGGAAGGTGCTCAATGATAGCCCGGGTGATTGAAATGCTTTTAGCCACAGAAACAGTCACCTTCTGGGCACCAAATGCCCCAGCAGATATTTCCCCACAAGGCCTTGCCACTGTATCCAAATCCTTTTCTGCAGGGGCTGCCTCTCAGGGTAAAATGGCCGTTCTGTTTCTATGGCTGTTCCAACTTTGGTCCCTCCAATGAGAGTGCCTATAGAGAACCAATCCCTGCCACCACTTAGGGACTGGACAACAAACCCCAGTTCATTTCATGCAGGAAGCTGAATATTTAGGAGATGACAATAACCGTGGTGCTTTTGAAGGCTGCCTAATAGCCTGGGATCCCCTGTGTTGGTGTAACTAGGATGAGCATGGGCCCCCTTTCTATAGTGTCCCTCGTTTGGTTGGAAAGCTCATCAGTCAAAGGTGGAGAAAAAAGTCATCACATAATCTCCTTACGCGCCTTCAAAGTTAACGTTGTTTTGAAATTGAGAGAAATACCTTAAAATAATCAATGGGGTATGAGCAGGGAGGCTTTCTAGCCAGGATGGTAAGAAGTCAGTGAGTGTGGGGTCTAGCGCACAAGTGGGGGAGGGGCGCAAGCTCCATGGCTTGCAATGTGCAGGAGGTCAGACTAGATGATCATAGAGGTCAGTGTTCCCACTCAGGTGTGCGCCTGCATAACCGCGCACAAAAAATTCTTCCCCTGCTCACTTCCTCTGGAGAGCCATGCAGCAGCGCTCGCACAGCCGTGACTGCTCCAGTGGGCTGGACAAGCTGAGACAAAGTGGTGAGGGAGCTGCTGGGGTGGGCCATGGCCACGTGGAGGGAAAGGAGGGGGGCCTGCTACATCGGCTGGGGCTGCTATATTGCGGGGAGGCGGGGCCTGTTCCAGCAGCTGGGGTAGGGAACAGGATCTGCTGCATGACGTAGCGGTGGTGTCTGCTATGGCAGCCACAAACGTGTGTGTTAATAAATTGGATGCCATGTTGGCACACATCCAGACCAACACATATGACCTCAGTATTGGTGCACAAGCCAAAACTCATTGGAAAATCTTAGAGGGAATATGGACAGAGGTCCCTTCTGACTTTAAGGTTTAAGCATATGAATGAGATACCCAGAATCAAGCTAGAACTTTGGGCACAAGGAAATTGGAGTGTCCTTTATAAAGCATTATTACTCGGTATTTGACTTGTTTGTCTGTCTAAACAGAAATGTCCTGCTTTTCTGGTGCCTGTGTGGCTATACAGAGCTACTTTATTTATCTGGGTCCTACAAATTGACTAGAGGTTCTTATCTGAGGGTATGTCTAAACTACATGGCTCCGTTGATGGAGCCATGTAAACTAGTTTACCCGACATAGTCAATGAAGCAGGGATTTAAATAATCCCTGTTTCATTAAAATCAAAATGGCCACTGCGCTGTGCCGACGATCAGCTGATCCAGCACAATGCGGCAGTCTAGACGTGGCATAGTCAACAAAGGAAGCCTTTGTTGACCACTCCGGTATACCTCGTGAAACGTCGATGGAGCCATGTAGTCTAGACATAGCCTAACTGTTCCAGCACTACTTTCCCTAAAGTCTCCCCATCCTTACTACAAACATCTCACTCTCCCTTCGTCCCCCCCACCTCTTTGTGCAAATTTTCAGGAAACCATGTCTCCTTAGGTTTGGGGAACAGATATTCTATTAATTAAAAAGACTGCGTACATCTTGGAGGGTATTCGTTGCTGCATCACCCTGATGGAATGGATTTCACATTTTTGTATGTGGTAAAATGGAGGGTAGAACAGAAATTTGACATTCTTACACTCAAGGCCGGCCCACAACATTTTGGCACCTGAAGCAGGGAGCTCACATGACACACCTATGTCCCCTTGCTGCACCAGCAACAGACACAATTTTCTAGACTCTGGGTCCTAGAGCTACCCCCCACCCCAGTCTGACACCTGAGGCGTCTGCCTCCGTTCACCCCATAGTAAGGCACGCCCTGCTTACACTGCAGTCAAGCTGAAACTTGAACCAAATATTTTTCAAACCAATTAAACCACTAGAATAGTTCCTTCCCTCCCCCCGAGGGGAAGAGTACCCGGAAGAGTATTCACACAGTAAATAAAACTGCATTTTTTGTGTGTTTGACAATTGTACTTTCTTATGTCTAGCCACAGAGGACTGGGATGGTATCTGCATACCCAAATGCAAACCAACTGCAGTGATGCAACATGACTAGAAATATTTAATAATCTGAGAATACAGAAAGTTGCAACAGGAAAAAGGTTGATGTCATTTAAATCAGAACCATAGAAATGACGCAGTGTAACTTCCTCTTATCCTCATTTCAGTTATGCTCTAACTGGAACAGATGTCTCTGCTTTCTGGGGCAATGGGAATATTAGGACTAATTGTTGGCATCATTGATTGGAAAATTGAATGTTTTCAGAGGGCACTAGAGTGTGCATTCACCCAGGGGATATAAAATGGAGTTTTGTGAAATAAAAATACACAGTATTTTCTTTTTTTTTAACTTGAATTTCAGTGCTTCAGGCCTTGCTAAAGCATATACAAAAAAAAAAGAAGTTTTGATTTTTGATAAGAAATGACACTTATTTATCTGTATCATTCATTATTTTTCACATTTCAGACCCACTCAAACAATCTGACCCTTCGCTGAAAGCAACAAAATTGCATGTCCATCTATAAAACACTATTTTGCTTGGGGCAATACATCTTGAGCATGTGTACAGCAAATCTCAGTGCATTTAAAAATTAAAAATTTAAAGTCTGAGAATGGGCTCATCCAGCTCTCAGGCCCTTACTTCAGGCTTTGAGGGGAATTTAATGTGTTAAAACATTGCAGCCAGAAGGAAGAGGGAAGCGCACATCGGCAAAAGGGAAAAACGTAACAGTGATGTGATTTATGATGTACATGTAGGACAACAAAACTTGTAATTCTCTTCCAGGAATGGAAAAAGATCTGCGGGCTTCTGGGGGTGGAACCTCTCTACAGCCCCCCAATTGCCCCCTCTCCCCAGATGGCAGCCTGCGGCAAGTGCAGCTGGTCTGATGGCCGAGTGCTTTGATGTGCCCAGTGTGGGTACTCCGGGCAATCCAAGCCAGGACTGCTTTGCAAGCGGGGCACCCCTGAGAACTGTCTGTCCGGGGTGGGGGTCGGGTCCCTTTAAGCACAACCCTCGGCTAGCCTGAGGCAGCAGCTCCACGCTCTAAGTCCTCATCTGATGCCCTGCCGACACTGCTTCCAGCCATCCTTAACCCCGGTTCAGGGTCCACTCTGTGTGGACATGCTAGTTCGAATTAGCAAAACGCTAATTCAAACTAGTTTTTTAGTCTGGATGCGTTAGTTCGAATTAGCTTAGTTCGAATTAACTAATTCGAACTAAGTTAGTTTGAATTAGCGCTGTAGTGTAGACATACCCTCAGATAAAGTAGTTTACATGGCTCCGTCGACAGAGCCGTGTAGTCTAGGCATACCTTGAGACATAAGATATCTCCAATGGTAATTTAAAGCACTAGCATCAATGTAATCAATACAAAGAGAAACCACAAAGCTGCCCTGCAGTAAAGAATGATGATTAAAAGGACTCCCCCACTTTCCCCATATATCACCCATGCCTTTGAGCAAGTAGCCCTGCTTCACCGGTCCTCTTAAGAAGATGAGATTTCCAGGGTGCTGTGAATATCAACGGATCAGGCTCTTCTGAACCAAATAACTGGGGAGGAGCAAAGTGCATCCTAAGGGAAGCAAGAGGCTTGTGTGGAACAGGCCCTGCCAGCTGCCCTGCCATTGCATATTGTGGTGAGAGGTGTCTAGCTGGAGCCCCTGCCTACATTTCAACTGCAGCAGGCATGGCGTGAGGAGGGAGGATGACTGCTAAAATGACACACAAGATGTGTGGAGTTTGTTCTTCACGGTATATAAGGAATACACAGATCTTCCCAATATTGTGTATTTTAGTGCCTCGTGGAGTGTCATCGCTGTGTCAATTACATTTTTTATAATACACACACACACAAAAACCACACCTGACATAAGGCTGTGTATCTGTGACACTCCTTAGAGTGCAATCTAGACTGTTGGATAGTTGGACAGCCATCACCCCGTGGTACTGCTAGCGCACAGCTTTTAGCAAGCCACTGGGTTATGGGGTTGCTTCCAGAGTGACACCAGCAAAGTCAAAGTCCCAGACTGGCTGCTCAGAAATGTGTATGTTCTACTGCTCAGTACTCTTCTGGCCAGGACAAGCTTGTAGACAGTTTGTCATTTCAACAAAGGAAAAGGATTATGCACCAGACATGTTATCTCAAGTACAGGTTCCCAAACCTTTCAATACACGCACACACTGCTTTAGATAACATTTTTTAAAAGATTAGCTATAGAAAGATGGATTTAAGTGATTACAAGTGATGAGGCATAAAAGTCAAATTGGTGAAAAAAATAAAAAGATAAAAATGCAAATTAATTCCTGACTTTACCAGACCAATGGTATAACTACAAAAAGATCTGTCTCACAAAAGAACCTGCAGTTAATATCATAGGCTGGCTCCACTTCTAACCTGAAACCCCATCCCTGTAAGGCAAGAGGAAGATAGGTGACACCGTGTCCATTGTCTCTTATTTTTATACTCCTCTGCCCTCGTTAAGTCTCCTGTATATAGGAGGTTTGAACAATCTCTGAGATGAAATGTAAATTTCTTGTTTATACCTTCTCTCATGTTGGAGGATGCCTGCTTAAGCTGGTGATACTTTTAAACACTTTGCTGGTGTGACAGTGTGTTTTCATCTTTAAGAAACTGGTATCTGGGTGTTACCCAGAACTGCAACATATTTCAGTAAGAATCAGAGTAGATCCATATAACTTTGTACATAATGTTGCTCAACTTATTTTAACAGGATAATATTCAGCAGATTATGAATTTTCAAATGATACCTCATAAAGCATACTTTGCACAAAACATTATAACCTTATAAAATTGGTGAACATGAGTTTCACAGTATCTCACCACCGGCACTATACCTATGTTTTTAATAAAACTGGAGGTCTAGGTCCTGTTTCCATTTATAAACTATTTTTTTTATCAGAATGCAGAATGCACCTTGTGCAGTCAATATGAGGAAAAGGTTCGTCCCAGTATCGATCTCATTGACTCCTTGAGAGCGCTTGGAATAGAAAAGGACCTGGGTTTGCCAGCAATTGCAGTGATTGGAGACCAGAGTTCTGGAAAAAGCTCCGTTCTAGAAGCCCTGTCCGGAGTTGCTCTTTCTAGAGGCAGTGGTAAGAATTTGCCTTTTGGCTTTTTCTCTCAGAAATCTGACACTTGCCTGAGTTGCAATGGTATATTATTCTGTAAGGGTGGTGAAGGGCTGCTTTGAAATATGGAGGGAGAAGGTGCACCTGTGATCTGAGAGACTGAACATGGGGCTGGAAGGCAAGAAATCTGGGCTATGGTGTCAGCACTGCCAGGAACATCTAGACAACTCATTTCATCTGGGGTCTTCAAAGTATTTGAAGGCTTCAATATCTGAGATATAGGTGAGAGGATTATTCTAGGAGGGGTGGGTGAGATTTTGTGGCCTGCACTGTGCAGGGGGTCAGACTAGATGATCATAATGGTCCCTTCTGACCTTAAAGTCTATGGCTACGTCTAGACTGGCCACAAATTCCAGAAAAGGGATGCAAATCAGGTAAGTCAGCATAGGGAAATCCGCGGGGGACATGTTTATTTAAATCCTTGGGGATATTTAAATCCGCGGGGGACTTCCCTATGCTGACTTACCTGATTTGCATCCCTTTTCCGGAATTTGTGGCCAGTCTAGACGTAGCCTATGAGTCTATGAGTCATCTCCCTGATTTTTAGGTGCCCCTTTTTAGGTGCCTATGAGTCTATGAGTCATCTCCCTGATTTTAGGTGCCCCTTTTTAGGTGCCTACCTGAATAAGAGATCCTCCGGAAAAGGGCTTTATTCCGGAGGATCGTGCCAGTCTGGACGCTTTTTTTCCGGCTTTTCCCCAAGCTGGAAAAAAAGCGGCGGACATGTTTATTTAAATCCGCGGGGGATATTTAAATCCCCCGCATATTTCCCTATGCTGACTTACCTGATTTGCATCCCTTTTCCGGAATTTGTGGCCAGTCTAGACGTAGCCTATGAGTCTATGAGTCATCTCCCTGATTTTTAGGTGCCCCTTTTGGCGAAATGGGGATAACTCCAAATATATACACACACACATACCTATGTAATGGACTTTGAGTTCTTCAGATGAAGAGCACTGAGGGTATGTCTAGACTACATGGCTCCATCGACGGAGCCATGTAGATGAGTTTATTAAACATAGGAAAATGAAGTGGTGATTTAAATAATCGTCGCTTCATTTACATCAAAATGGCTGCTGCGTTGTGCCGATCAGCTGTTTGGCAGCACAGTGGGGCAGTGCCACCAAACAGCTGACTGGCACAACGCAGCGACCATTTTAATGTAAATGAAGCAGCAATTATTTAAATCACCACTTCATTTTCCTATGTCTAGTAAACTCATCTACATAGCTCCATCTACAGAGCCATGTAGTCTAGACATACCCTAAGAGCCTATCTAGAGGCCCTTGGACTCCAGTGGAAAGACTATTATTTCACTGACATTACATTTGAGACTCTACTACTGTGCAAAGAAGTAATTGTATCTTTGATTATGAAATACATGTTGACCATAAGCTAAAGACAATCTATTGCTATTTCAGTGGCTTCCAAAGAGGAGGGAAACACTGTATTTCACTTTTTGATATAAGACTAGTGATTTTTTTGTTTTTGTTTAATTCTGTAGGTATTGTTACCAGATGTCCTCTAGAGCTCAAACTGAAGAAAGTGCATAACACACAGGAATGGAAAGGAAAAATTACTTACTTGGAGATAATGCAGGAGTTGAATGGTCCCTCAGAAGTGGAACAAGAAATAAGGAAAGGTAAATGTAACCCAGGACATAAATAACATATAAGATTGTGCTTCTTTGTGGCCTTGATTCTGCACTGACCTCTGTGTGGGCACCAGCGCTTATTGTAGGATTAAAGCCCATTTTTGTAATGACATCATGAAAAGTAGGGATTTCTTACTCTTGAGTTTGTGCTTAGTTAAGAGTAAGTGTTATCAGCAGATAACATTTGCAAGTAGGCTCCTTCCTTATCCTGGCCAAATAACAAATACATTGGTTCACTGGTGATTTAGAAAAAAAAGTGAAAATTGCCAGTGAATTGAAAAAAAAAATTGTTTCAGCTGAAATAAAACATTTCATTTCAAATCAAAACATACTTGTAGGCTACGTCTAGATTGGCATGATTTTCTGGAAATGCTTTTAACGGAAAAGTTTTCCGTTAAAAGCATTTTCGGAAAAGAGCGTCTAGATTGGCACGGACACTTTTCCACAAAAGCACTTTTTGCGGAAGCGCGTCTAGATTGGCCATGGACGCTTTTTTGCGCAAAAAAAGCCCCGATCGTCATTTTCGCGATTGGGGCTTTTTTGGGCAAAACAAATCTGAGGTGTCTACACTGGCCTTTTTGCGCAAAAGTTTTGCGCAAAAGGGACTTTTCCCCGATCGGGAGCAGTATAGTATTTTCTCAAAAAGCACTGATTTCTTACAGTAGGAAGTCAGTGCTTTTGCAGAAATTCAAGCGGCCAGTGTAGACAGCTGGCAAGTATTTCCGGAAAAGCGGCTGATTTTCCGGAGAAACTGGCCAGTCTAGACACAGCCATTAGGTAACAAGTGTTTGAATGGTTTTGAAATAAATGGGAATCATTGGTTTTGTCTTGAAATTTATTTTGTTATTTATTTATTATTTATTTATCTGAAACAATTTTGTTAAATCGACACGAATTTGTGAAATGTTTTGTTGTCACCAAATCTGCTTTTTTCTGTTCAAAATATGGTGAGAAAAATTTCACCCACCTCTATGAAGCTTCAAACCAGACATACACTTATGCTGGATGTAGACAGATGAGCAGCAAATTTGTGGTTTAGCACTCTGCTGCTCTTAGGGGCTGATAGTTGCTAAACCCTGAGCCAAGTCTTCGATATTTTTGTCCCTATGGTATATAAATGAAGACTAATCTTTTCTCTTTTATATCATATTTATTAATCTTATTTTATAGCTAATTATAATGAAGGGGAAGCTTTTCTGAGAACATATGTTCTGAAAGAAGCAAATGTAGCAATAGGTTTTTTCTTAATCCATGACATTTTTTAGTTTAAGTTCATAACATGTTTCTAATCTTTGCTTTTGTGTCTCTTTCCTGTAGCCCAGGATGCAATGGCTGGTGAAGGAGTGGGCATTAGTCACGAACTAATTTCCCTAGAAATTAGCTCCCCGAATGTTCCAGATCTGACACTGATTGATCTGCCAGGGATTGCTAGAGTGGCTGTTGGGAGTCAGCCTCAAGACATTGGCAAGCAGGTAAAGTATGTAGCAATTCTCTGCTGGGAAACTGGTAATAATGGCAAAGGAGATTACTGTATCTTGCTCTGCATAATGTTCTGCTTAATGATGACACAGAACTGACTAATATGTAATTTCCCAGGAAGAGTTAAGATGTAACAAAATAGGGTTTTAGTGGAGGAAGTGCTACATTGAGAAGGATATGCATATACCAGGCTAGGGCAAAATACAGCCTGTGGGCTGGGTGCAGCCAGCCAAGCCCCAGATCTGGCCCGCAGAGACAACCCTATAGCCTGCACACCACTCAGAAATGGAGCTGTGGGGCGCTTTCTCATTATGAGTCCGGAGAGGAGGGGGAAAGATTCAGACGCTGCCCCCAGCATAATCCTATTAGCCGGTTTCTGGACTGTATCAGTCAATTGACTGCCAGCACAAAAGCTGAGGAGATACACAAGTGTTTCAAATGCATTTGAACACATCCATCTCCTGAGTTGCAGCCCAGAATCTGAGTCTAAATGTTCAGTTGTGAGACATGTTGTCTTCAACTTTTCAATAACATCATAAAAAGCGAAAATTTGATGTCGCTTTATCATTCCTAATTTAGTTCTAAGTATACCTTCTTGGACAGTCCTCTGTGGACTGTTATCCGGTGCTTTTAAACAATGGCTGTTTGAGTTGGTCACATGCAGTATGTTTACATGTGTTTATCAACACATTTAATTTTACCTTTAGATGATAAGATTTCAGGCTGTATTGTGTTCTTCTCAAATAAGCTTCTGTCCCATAGTCATATCTCTAATACTAATAATCTGAGATCAACTCTGACCATGAGCCAGTTAGTTTTAGGAATATAAACTTCTCAGTACTGGATCCAAATCACTGATCGATTAAGTTATATCTAGAGCCTCTGGCAGTTCTCAGTTCTGTGAGACAGGTGAAAAACACCATAATGCACCTACCCAGTTATGCAGCCAGTCTAACCACATTCAGAGATGAGGGATAGCTAAATTCCTTCCAAAGCTATGAAATCTGGAAGGACCAAATCTACCACTTGTAACAAGACTTACCTACCTATCTGAAGTAATCAACTTTTATTACAAATTGAGGGGGAAATCTCGCTCCCCTGGGGTACAGAGCCCCCAGAAGGGTCCGAGGCCAGAGGTCAAATCAGTGAGGCAGGAGAGAAACCTAGAAGGAAAAACTTTATGATGCATGCATGCAGGCTGTCACTTCCAAGAGTGAAAGCAGCAGCAATGAGAGACAGATTCAGGTATCCTATATACAGAATGCTTAGACAGTTCAGTTGTTGATTGTTCTTCTTTAACATATCAAAGTCTCAGCAGAAGTACTCTGAGACTTCTGTTCACCCCAGGAGTGCAAATGTAAGTTTTTACAGTACACAAAGCCACATGAGAACTTGAGTGGAGGAGTCTACAAGGCAAACTGTGACAAAGATAAGGGTTTACATGACAAATTGTGACAAACTAGGAGTATCCATGAACTTGAGATAGGAGGCATTGTAAGGGTCTTGATTAGAGTTAATTTGATTTCTCTCTGTTACAGGGAGAGAGGTCTGGAAAACTTTTAACCCTTACAGCAGTTTTCTTTCAGAGAGTTTTGATTTCTGCACAGTCCCCCCTTTGACACAATTGGAGTTATTTGATTTTTTCTCCCACAATATCTTATTTCATTACAGATCATAACTCTTATTAAAAAGTATATTCATAAGCAACAAACTATAAATCTGGTAGTAGTGCCAAGTAATGTGGATATTGCAACAACAGAAGCCCTAAAAATGGCTAAAGAGGTGGACCCTAACGGGGAGAGAACCCTTGGTAAGTAAAGATACATATATTTAAAAAGAAAAGGGGATTGGGTTGTGAGAAAAGTAATTGTACTGGCAAAGAATGTTTAGTGCTAAACACAGGAGAGGCTGAGCATATTCCACCACTTGCTGTGGTTCCTTCCTAAAAGAATCATGGGAAAGCAGCAAAGGAACCAGACATTTATATTTTGGTGGTGGGCTTGCTTTGATTTGAAATCCACACAGGATTTCCTATCAGTGCTTCATTTGAGAATCTGAATTTCAGACAAAAATAATCACAAGTACTATAGGGGGAAATGGCTAAAGGAGCAACCAACCATCCCCTCCTCGCAAATTATCCTGTTATGTAAAATGTTCCTGCAAATGTTAGTTCTGACACTTGGTGAGCCTAGAATCATTTGGGAGTTTCTTTTAACAATTCTCCACAGAATCACAGAACACTAGAACTAGAAGGGACCTCAAGAGAACATGAGCTATAAGGCAAGGCTGAAGGAACTGGGCTTGTTTAGTTTGAAAAGGAGAAGACCGGGAAGGGACATGAGAGCAATTTCAAGTATCTAAAAGGGTGTTACAAGGAGGAAGGAGAAAAATTGTTCTCCTTGGCCTCTGAGGATCGTACAAGAAGTAATGGGCCCTGCAGCAAGGGAGGTTTAAGTTGGACATTAGGGAAAACTTCCTCACTGTCAGGGTGGTAAAGCACTGGAATAAATTGCCGATGGGGGTTGTGGAATCTCCATCTCTGGAGATATTTAAGAGCAGGTTAAATAGATGTCAGAGGGAAAAAACCTCTCTAGTAACCAAAAGTGAAATGTTCTCTTATGTGGAAGGACCTTCCTGGCACACAATAACTTTGTCTACCCTGCAAGTTTTTGTGGTAGAAAATATGCTAATGAGGGACTCATTAGCAGGGCTTGACAAATAATGCAATCTACTTGCCTGTGCAAGTAGATTGCAACCCAGAAGAGCCGGGTTTGGGCGATCTGCGCATGCCGGACAGCGCAGCTGGTGAGTGGGGCTTGCCGCAGTTCGGTGAGCCCTGCTCATTAGCATAAGTCACAATATCATTAGTATATTTTCTACCGCTTCTTTTTGCATGAGGGGTTTTTGCACAAAAAGAAGCAGTGTAGCCACTTCCTTTTTGTGCAAAAAACCCTTTTTGCGCAAGATCCTTATGCCACTCCCAGTTACACTGCTTCTTTTTGCTCAAAAACTGCTCGCACAAAAAGAAATGGCAGGAAATATGCTAACGATATTGCAACTTACACTAATGAGCAGGGCTCACCGAGCAGCGGCAAGCCCCGCTCGCCAGCCATGCGGTTCTGCGCTCTGCGCATGCACAGATCGTTCTGCGCATGCACAGATCGCTCTGTGCCAGCTCTTCCGGGGTGTAATCAGTTCTGTTAAAAGCATTTGCGGAAAATCATGCCAGTCTAGACGTAGCCCTTATGACTCTACTTTAATCCCCAGATGGATCACATCCGTGAGCAGAGATACCTTCCTAAAGCCGAAACAAAAGACAGGACTATGTAGCACTTTAAAGACTAACAAGACGGTATATTAGGTGATAAGCTTTTGTGGGCCAGACTAACACTGCTACATCTCTATTACTTTCTAAAGCTGACAGACATACAACCACTTAACACATAGTTGATAACTGAGGTCTGCTTTGTTTAAATACTTGTTTCACTGGGAACACTGATGTCTGCTCCTCACAATTAGCATCTATCCAGGAGTCTAGAATCCCCCCCCCAATCACTTTGATCTGCCTATTGAGCATCCTATATAATCAGTTGTAACCTATCTGGCAGCGTTCACTAAGCCATAATAAGCGATGTGACACTCGGACAGTGCTGTGTGTAATAAACTCTCCTGTTTGCTTCACATAAAGTGTTCAGATTCTGTTCCTTCATAACTATGGAACCACAAGTACAGCTTCCGTCTATAACGTGTGTCACCTCATTAAATACAATATTTCTTTCGTTACTTCACAGGGATTCTCACAAAACCTGATTTGGTCGACAAAGGAACGGAGAGAGATGTCACTGACATAGTCCGAAATCTCAGTGTCCCCCTAAGAAAGGGCTACATGATTGTTAAATGTCGTGGGCAGCAGGACATCCATGACAACTTGTCGCTGGCCTCTGCAATCCAGAAAGAGAGACAATTCTTTGAGGAACATGAATATTTTCGGTAGTTTTAAAGTCAATACACACAGAATATTAGACAGGTTTTCCCCCACTAACAGGTTTTTTTATCACAGAAAAGAAAGTAAATACATGCTATATGTGCAGTCATTAAAGCCAGTCACTCTGGGCAAAATTATGAGGTGGACTACACATGCACACAGGGAAGAAGATGGAGTAAGCATTCCCCTTATGCTGACATGCTTCTGTAGGGGCCAAAGGGAACAGTTGCTCCAGAGCTCAGGCTCAGGGCTCACGCCTGCTACTGTAGCAGCAGTGCAACCAGAGCCCTGGGCCCTTTTGGTTGCAGCTGGAGCAATGCACAGCATGGTCCAGGCAGCTGTGCGGGTTGGGGATGGGCACTGCATTCCAGAGGGTGTTTAGGGTTGGCTGCTCCTGGCCCTGCCCTTTCCACCTGAGGCCTCACCCTTTCCAAGACCACAGAGCCAGGTCCTCCCTCTACCTTGTGCAGGGGCCTATGGAGGCTGATTGTGCTCCTGCCTTTATGCTTCTACACGGGCTCCTCAGGCTTTGGGAACAGTCCACTCTGAATCCAGCAACCTGAATAAACAAAATCACCTTGTCATTCATCACTATCAGCTAATCTCTACTATCAGAAACAAAAATGTGTTCACAACTGTGGTGTCTGAGAAGTACCATACACAATTCCATAAACTCACATGGGTGGTCTATTCACAGATCTAAAATCCTCTTTTCTTCTTCTTCCCAAGAATAGGCCATAGCAGCAGCACAATAATACTTAGCACTTGTATATAGCACCTTTCATCAGCAGATCTCAAAGCACTTTATGGAGTAGCTCAATATCATCTCTGTTTTACAGAGGGGAAAACTGAGGCAGAAAATGATTACAGTCACCCCAAGTAACACAGAAGGCCTCTGGCAAAGCCAGGAACAGCTGTACTGTGTCTGAAATGCTTTGGAATCCTTTGGGATGAAAGAAGGAATTCTTTGGGATATTATTATTTATTGTGTTCTTTAATCTCTTTCAGTGTTCTTTTTGAAGAAGGAAAAGCCACCATCCCCTTTTTGGCAGAGAGACTAACACAGGAACTGATAGAGCACATTAATGTAAGTTAGCAGTCTTGGACTACTGGTTCTTTAAAAACCAATTTGGTGAACGCACAAAACAGCAAATGTTGTTTGGACCTTTTACCGAGATATGTATGTAAGCTGCATAGTAGCAAGTCGGAACTCTCTGAAACCTTAACTAGATTGTAGAACAGGGGTGGGCATGATACAGCCCGTGGGATCTGGCCTGCCAAGCTATTTTTTTATCTGGCCTGTGGCCTGCCCTGCCGTGCCCCTGCCCCCAGGCCAGTCAAGACCCTGGGGCAGGGGAGTGCACAAAGTCTCCTCCCCCAACCAGGGACACGCAGCACCAGAGGGTACCATCAGCTGTACCATCAGCTGGAGGTTCCCTCTGGGTACCATGCACTCCTGGCAGGATGGGGGCAGGGATTAGACCTCCCATGCTTCCCCTTTCCCCAGGGGAGCATGCGAAGTGACCTCTCTGCTTCCCCCTGCACATGGTGCCTAGAGGGAACTACCCCTTCTGCCTGAGGGCCCCACCTCTTTCAGGCCAGCCTGCGACAACACCCAACTTTGGTGAAGTGGCCCCCCTACAAAAATTATGGCCTACCCCTGATGTAGAAAATAAATATAAGAAGTCAATTTCTCATAAATTCATATTTTTAACTAATGGCTTTGCCAGGCTTGGTGACAGAGGGACAAAGGGTTCAGTTGCCCTGGGGTCTGGTGACTCCAGCTACGTCTAGACTACGGAGTTTTTCCGGGTATCCCAGAAAAACTCTACCATG